GTGTACGTGTGTGTAGCACGTGTGTATAAGGTACTAGCTTACATACATTTAAACATGCGGAGATTTAAATAGATATTTTATGCTACCTCCCTGGCTCGTGGCCCGAGCCCGCCCTCCACATGTTTAAAGGTGGTCACCGTCACCTGAGAGCGGGATAGACAAACAAATAGACAACTAGAAAAATTGGTAGGTACATAAGTAGATGGCTAGACAGATTGGCGGATCAGATAGGTAGATCGACAGATAGATACAGAGACAAGTGACAATTACGACGCCCAAGAGGGCCAATGCAACCACGACTACCTAACCCCCAAAAGTAGGTAAAATAATGGCCCAAAACCCATGAAAGGCTATTATTCTACATACTTTTGGGGTCCAGGTACACACCCAGGGAGATCACCACGCCAGCGAAGAGAAGTACGAGACCGATCCTGATCCCGTCGCTTCTTTGCTTAACCAGGGTTTAGGGTTTAGGTGTTTAGGGTTTAGGGGTTTAGGGTTTAGGGGTTTAGGGGTTTAGGGGTTTGGGGTTTAGGGGTTTAGGGTTTAGGGGTTTGGGGGTTGAGGGGTTTAGGGTTTAGGGGTTTAGGGTTTATAGGGCTTAGAGTTTAGGGATTTAGGGGTTTGCATGGGGGGTTTAGGGGTTAAGCGTTCAGGGGGCTTGAGGGTTTCAAAAAATGCCTGTGAGGAATCGGGCTTTAAGATTTAGGCTCGAGGGTTAAAGCTTACAGGTGCCTGTGCTGGTGTCTAGCGTCAAAAGACCGCATCCGCACCATTCCTTCTCCAGCGTGTGATATACGGGTCCACTTGGAGACTTGGGTGTTGGTTTGCTGGGTTTAGGGTTCAGGATTTACGGTTGGACCAAGTGCACGAAAGTGTTTCGACGGGTTTGTAAAGAAATCTCTCAGGACCTTCCGACGATTGTGTCACTCGGTACAGCGTTTTCGGGAATGGAAACATGGCTGTCCAAACCCGCCAAAACCTATTTCCACGAGCGAGTTTATCAGTACTTATGGCTCTCAGGGCTTACCCGGCAGTCTTGAGAATTTTGGTAGCCGCTACACCGCTCAGAGGGCATTGTCCGATGGGCATCACTATAGTACGAGCATAGTACCATAAGACACCGCTATATTAGTATTCTTCTTCTTACTGTGATGCATTGTGATCTTAGGACCGTTGGGGTAGCTTTTATGCGATTTCAAGATGTCCTCGTTTTCGGGGTGTGCAGGATATGGGCGCCTCTACGCCGACCAAGCTGAAACCAAGCAGGGCACTGATCGGTTGTTGCCAGAACCGCGGCAAGTCCAGAATCGCCCTTCGGTGCGAGGTAGGTCGAAGCAAAGGCTGCTCCTTCAGGGAAGCAGGATGATGACACCGACTGCTTTCGCTTCTGCCGCGACCGACGTAAAAAGAAGCATTGGCTGAACACTGCTGGTGTGGAATAGAAGCACGGTTGCAAATACAATGACAACATCAAAGCCGCTGTCAATATCGAGCAGCCTCGTCGTCGTCGCAGTGGCAGTCGTAGCGGTCGTAGCAGCAGCAGGAGGAGAGGTAGCTGTAGTAGTTGTTGTTGTGGCAGCAGCAGCAGCAGCAGTAACAGTAGCTTGTAATCTTTTCATCACAGTTATATGTATTTCCAGTGCTAGCAGTAACCCTCAGAGCTCCTAGTGCCACGTTTTGGACCACCTCGACTTTGTCTGGCTCAGCTTGTCGTGACACCGCCACAGTTCTATTCGGAAAGGAAGATGCTGCGAAGGCCTCAGAACAGAGAGGAACTGGAGCTTGGCAGTTTAGGGTGTAGGGGTTAAGGCTTCTGGGGCCTGGGTGATTCCTTTATAGAGCTCTGCATTCACACAGGGCTTGTGGCTCAGTCTTTTCTGGAGAAAGTAATAATCAAAGTCCGAAATTCAGGAGCCTTGAACCCTGAACCCTACATGTTTGAGTTGCAATTTCTTGAAGAACAAACTGCGGAATGGCTGGAAGTCCATAATCCTGTGAAAACCCACCTGAACTCAACTTCAATCAAACCTAAATCCCAAACCCTCGAAATCCTAAACCGTGAACCGCTAATATAGGGGCCTTTATAATTAGAATAGGTTTTGTGGTATATTATACTATGATTAACAAGGAACCCCCAAAATCCTATTTTAGTCAAATATTATGGCCCCTACATTACACCCCGGTCCCGAGGAAAGGCAAGTGTCCTGCGCAAGGCATAGGCCAGAAGAGACCACTGCCAGGAGCCTTGTTCCCCTCTGGGTAAGGGCTTGGGCAGGGCTCCAGATTCAGGACTTTATGGTATATGGCTTAAGGGAGACGGTTCACGACATTTGGTGTAGGGTATAAGATCAACTCTTTCGGTACGGTTGTTTGGGTTTCAGGCAAACGGCAAACAAAGTCTTGAACATGATGGCCATGTAGCCAGCCCAGGGTTCTTCTTCTGCGATGGTGTCGCTTGCAGCGTTGCTCCGGAGACTGGTCCACCATCCTGGCACCATGCTCAAAATCATGAGGCTAGGGTTTAGGGATTAGGGTTTAGGCTTTAGGGTTCCTTGGGTAACAGCATTACACTGCATACCTGCCGCTGGCCAATTTTGAAGCACCGGACACACTGAAGCCGAAAGCTTGACAAAAAATTGGAATATCTCCTCCTCCACTTCAGATCCGGGCTTCTTCATTGAAACTCTGAACCCATATTGGGGGTTCATGGGTAGTCATAAGTGTGGTTATGGGGTTCCGCTAAGGGCTCCTTTAAAGGGTTCAAAGGGTTTAGGGTTTCGGGGTAATTATAAGTGGGGTTATGAGTCCCCTAACATGGATTATAAGTATAGCTACCCTACTTATGACCCCGTTTATAACTACCCATGAACCTCCAAGTGAACCCCAAACCATTCGGTTTGAGTGCGGGCTGCGCTGGGGCCTCGTATCTATCGGCGCCATGGCGTGCTGCGAGCAATGGTGGTCGATACCGCCTACGGACTATGTCCTGCAAGGAACCTTAATACGGTAACCCCCCAAGGGTAAGACAGCTGCAATCTGAAGATCCCTGGCATTTGCTGTGTTGTAAGAAGTAGGGATTACGAGTTGGCACTTCGCTTGAATTGCAGTGTTTGCATAAACGGCTCTCGCAAAGATCCGAGTTTGAGTGTGAAGAAAGAGCTTCGGATTGCAGCTCCAACTGTTTCGGGTCTACCTTAAGAACCCAAAACCTACTTTTTTGTAGGGTCCCTATAGATCCCATATTAGGGTGTATAATAAGGACCTACAAAAAAGTGGGTTTT